CCACTTCACTGTGCATATGAGTAACCCAAGATTCTAGTTTGAATCTGAATTATGAGATCCTGGTTGGCTTGAGACTCTGAGAATGAAATAATCTTCTGTGTGATGTTGATGCTGCAGGTCCTGATCTGAGGACCACTCTTTTTTTTTTTTTAATAAGTTTTTATTAATTTGTTTTTGTTACAGATGTTTCTCCTTTTTCCTCCATTGACACCCTCCTCCTGATTCCCCCAGGCTATTCCTAGCTTTGTTGTCTATGTCCGTTGGTCATGCATACATGCATGTAAGCTCTGTGGTTTATTTCTTCCCCTCCAAACTCCCCTCCTCTAAGGCTTATCAGTTTGTACCCCACCTCTATGCCTCATGGTCTATTTTGTTCATCAGTTTATTTAGTTCATTATATTCCACAAATAAGTGAGATCATGTGATGTTTTTCTTTCTTTGCTTGGCTTGTTTTGCTTAGCATAATACTCTCCAGGTCCTTCCATGTAATCTCAACAGATAAGAGCTCTTTCTTTCTTACTTTTCTTTTCCTTTTTTATTGATTTTAGAGAGAGAGGAAGTGAGAAGAAGAGAGAGATAGAAACATTGATGAGAGAGAACATCAATTGGCTGCCTCCAGCATGCCCCCCACTGGGGATCGGGCCCACAACCTGGGCATGTGTCCTGACTGGGAATTGAACCAGCAACCTCTTGGTGCATGGGTCAATGCTCAACCACTAAGCAGCACTGGTCGGACTAGAGATCTTTCTTTTTTACAGCTGCATAGTATTCCATTGTGTACATGTCCCACAGCTTTTTTATGCACTCACCTACTGATGGACACTTGGGCTGTTTCCAGATCTTAGCTATTGTAAATACTGCTGCTATGAACATAGGGGTACAAATATTCTTTCTGATCGGTGTTTCAGGTTTTTTACTTTTAAAATTTTTTATTTATTAATTTGGTTTTGTTACAGATGTTTCTCATTTATCCCCAATTGACACCCTCCTCCCCTTCCCACCTGCCCCATCATGAAGAAATGCTCAACATCACTAATCATCAGACAGATGCAAATTAAAACAACAATGAGGTATCACCTCACACCTGTCAGAATGACCGCCATCAACAAATCATCAAACAACAAGTGTTGGCAAGGGTGTGGAAAAAAGGGGACTCTAGTACACTGCTGGTGGGAATGCAGACTGGTGCGGTCACTGTGGAAAACACTATGGTGTTACCTCAAAAAGTTAAAGATTGAGCTGCCATTTGACCCAGTGATCCCACTTCTAGGCATATACCCTAAGAAAACTGAAACACCAATCAGAAAGAATATATGTACCCCTATGTTCATAGCGGCACTATTTACAATAGCTAAGATCTGGAAACAACCCAAGTGTTCCTCAGTAGATGAGGGGATAAAAAAGCTGTGGTACATGTACACAATGGAATACTATGCATCTATAAGAAAGAAAGATCTCTTATTCTTTGAGATGACATGGAAGGACCTGGAAGTATTATGCTAAGCAAAATAAGCCAAGCAGAGAAAGACAAATATCACATGATCTCATTTATTTGTGGAATATAATGAACCAAACAAACTGATAAACAAAATTAACCCAGAGTCATAGAGGTGGGGTACAGACAGACAAACCTCAGAGGAGAGTGGGTTGGGGGGGACATAAACCACAGAACTTATATGCATGTATGCATAACCAATGGACATAGACAACAATGCTGGGGATGGAGCAGGGGGGATGGGGAGGAGGGTGTCAATGGTGGAAAAGAAGAAACATCTGTAACAAAAACAAATTAATAAAAAATAAATTAATTAAAAATAATAAATTGTGATGTTCATGTTTAATTTTTTTAAATTTTAAATTCATCATTATTGTTGAAAGTATTGCAGAGGTCCCTCCTTTTTCCCTATATTGATACCCTTTTCTCTGTTCCTGCCCCCCTTCACTGTACTATTGTCCGTGTCCATTGGTTATGTATATATGTATATAAATTCTTTGTTTATCCATGTTTATTTCTTATGCCAAACTATTTTCTGATGAAGATAGCATTGTACTTTGGGCAAGAATGGAAACCTCAAAATAATCATTATAAAGCATCTAAGACTTATGGGAGAATAAACTAGGATGGTCCATTGATATGAGATGAAATTCACAATGTGGAATTATAAATTATTACAGTGGCCCAGACTAGAAGACACACCCAAACCACCATTAGAAGAATGAAATACAAAATGATCCAAGATGCATTCTTTTTTTTTTAAATTTTTTTTTATTTATTAATTTGTTTTTGTTACAGATGTTTCTTATTTTCCCCCCATTGACACCTTCTTCCCCTTCCCCCCTCACCCCTTTCCTAGCTTTGTTGTCTATGTTCATTGGTCATGCATACATGCATGTAAGTTCTGTGGTTTATCTCTTCCTCCACAAACCCCCCTCCTCTGAGGCTTGTCAGTCTGTACCCCACCTCTATGTCTCTGGGTTAATTTTGTTCAGCAGTTTGTTTAGTTCATTATATTCCACAAATAAATGAGATCATGTGGTATTTGTCTTTCTCTGCTTAGCTATTTTCGCTTAGCATAATACTCTCCAGATCCTTCCATACCATCTCAAAGGATAAGAGATATTTCTTTCTTACATCTGCATAATATTCCATTGTGTACATGTACTACAGATTTCTTAAAGTTTTGATTCAACCCTCAGTCTGAATTATGAAGATTGATCTTCAATTCTGTCCAGACAGCAGAAATTGACTGTGCAATTTTTTATTGTATTTATGTAAAGACTATGTACATTTTAGAAGGTTCCTTTAGTACTACACTGTTTTACTTTTTGTCCCAGCAATTTGAGGGAGTGCAAATTCCACAAAGTCATCAATAAGAACAGGCCATATTCCTTCTTCATCATAATTAGACATGTCATCTGCAATCATTATACTAAAGTCTAAATTTCCAAGTATCTTTTGGTATTGATTGTTTATGATGTTCCAATAAAAATTTATTCTATAAGTCTAAGAATTTATATCTTCCATTAAGCACTAAATTCCAGTAGGCAATGGCCATTTCTAGATCTAATCCTCTTTGTTCTGAATTCTTTGCAAAATTAAAAGTAAACTGATAAAAATCCTGAAATCAGTTTATAATCTTCACACAATGGTTCTTTCAATTCTTGTTCCATCTTGGGTATCTAGGTTTTTTTTTTTTTTTTTATGCTGTTATATCCTAATTTTGTCATGTCCCATGAACTCTTGTTTAGAGAATTTTGCACCGTGTTGCTACTCTGAACTTCCACACAATGATCAAAACACTAATGCTGGCTGGATGGGGTGCCAGATCATCACGGAGCTTCTGTTTACCATCTACTCCAATTTTATTTTCATCTTGAGGATCCTTTTATGTATTGTATAGTTGTTCTATCTTCTTCCAGTCCAAAGATTCTTTCATACTGTCTCAGGTATAAAGTTCAGGATTTTGTCTGTTGCAATATCTAACTTCCAGTCATTTTGAGACAGGCAACTGACTGGTGTTTTTTAACTAGATTGTGTGAAGATTGTAAACTGACAAACTTGATCCTTCTGCGATGATTTCAATTTGTTCATATTGGTGTCCTCCAGGTCTTTCCCCGCCTCCTCCATTTCTGCAGTGAATGCACTGTGCCTTGGCTCTTCTCATGGGCTCTCTGGGCTCCCACTCAAGCACAGTGCAGGGCGGCTTCTGGGGCCCAGGAGAGTCGGAAGGACTGAGGCAGGTGTCAACAGCCTAGAGCTGGGATTCCCATGGGCGCCGGGTCCTCCCTGTCCTTTGATTCATCTTTTGATTATAAGGATTAAAGATATTCTTGAGTATAAAGAAGATTATGTGTGTGTGTGTATACATATATATGTAAATAAAGATATATATACATATTGTTCACTCACTGTTCCTTTGGTGGATTTGATAAAAATTTAGAAAAAGGCAGATATTTAATTTAGAGCACTAGGAGTAACATTTCTAGGGAGCATATTGAAAATTTTCACACAGAAACAAGATAATAGTTCAGAAAAAACACACAAAATACTCTACATAATTCTTCACCCAAATGATAAAGACCTGTACATATGAACATCATATTTCACACTTTGCTTTAAAAAAATATTTTATTATATTGATTTTTTTAGAGAAAGAGGAAGGGAGAGAGAGAAACATGGATGTGAGAGAAGGACCAAAGGACTGCCTCCCATATGTGCCTCATGGGGTGGGATCCTACAACCTAGGTATATGCCCTCAATGGGAATAGAATCTACAACCATTTTTGGTGCATGGGACCACACTCCAGCCATGAGACCTGGGCCACATTTCAGACTTTAATGAGTAAATGTGCACCATGAAAAATATTTTTGTATAATAATAAATTGTATAGCTATTTTTGTTTCATCATATTTAAAGTCATTTCTGTCTCTAACCATATTAGATCAGTTTGTTTATTATAATGTATATATTCATGTAGAGTCTTTGTGGAAACATGTATTTGATAGTCAATTTTTGCCAATGGCTGTGGTAGGCAGGTGGACACACAATTGAATAACACAGTGAAGACTATAAAACCAGGAGAAGAGCTTTAAAACATTCTCATTGCATATTAAAGTCTATATTATCAAGAAGAGCCGTAAACATAGCACTATAGAAAATAATGATGAACATATAAGTGAAAACTGTAGCCTCAGATTTTCCTCTGAAATAAAATTATGTAAATGACCTTAGTACCTAAGTATAATTTTGTCCATAGGGGTAATATAATTCTTGACAATTATTTCAGGAAAACATAGAAAAATTACTTGGAATGATATATGTCATAAGAAAATAAATTGTGCTAATGTTATTCATGTTAACCCATGAGATAAATGTGAATTTCCTATTACCTATGGTCCAAAGATTGGATTAATTTGTGTCAGAACTTCTGCCTCTAAGGCTTTGAACCCTGCATTCATGGCCAATTCTTCAGCCAAGTACAGTTGGCCCTTGAAAAGCTTACCTGTAAAGGAATCTTTTCAGGGCCCTCTTAATGTCTTTGTTCCTCAGACTGTAGATGAAGGGGTTCAGCATGGGTGTGACCATGGTGTACATCACTGAGGCTGTTGCACTTGAGTGTGCACTGTGGGTAGCAGCAGAGCTGAGATACACTCCTAAGCCGGTACCATAAAATAAGGAGACAACGGAGAGGTGAGACACACAGGTAGAAAAAGCTTTATACTTCCCTTGAGCTGATGGGATTCCACATATGGAGGAAATTATCTTAGAGTAAGAGTAAAGGATCCCAGCAAGGGGACCACCACCTAGCAGGCCAGCTAAAAAATACATTATCATATTGCTAAGAAAGGCATCAGAACAGGCAAGTTGGACCATCTGATTGAGTTCGCAGAAAAAGTGAGGGATTTCCAAGTTTGGGCAGAAAGACAGACCCAAAACCATTAAGCTTTCTAACAATGTATTCAGGAGACTGATGATCCAGCACACCAGCATCAGCAGTCCACAGAGCTGGGGATTCATGATAATTGTGTAGTGCAAGGGGCGGCAGATGGCCACAAAGCGGTCATAGGCCATTACTGTAAGAATAAAGTCATCCAACACTGTAAAGAGTATATAAAACCACATTTGTGTGATGCAGCCTTCATAAGTGATGACTTGGCTCTTTGTCTGTATGTTCCACAGCATCTTTGGGATGGTAGTGGAGGTGAAACAGATGTCAACCAAGGATAGATTGGAGAGGAAGAAGTACATGGGTGTGTGGAGGTGGGAGTCTGAGCTGACGGCCAGGATGATGAGCAGGTTTCCAAGCACAGTGATCAGGTACATGGAGAGGAAAAGCCCAAATATGAGAGGCTGTAACTCCAGTGCTTGTGAAAGTCCCAGAAGAAGAAATTCTGAAGTTTGTGTACCATTGCCTGGTTCCATGTGTTGGAGGTGACTACCAAAAAATAGAAAAAAATTGAATAGCCATTTTTATACTGGCAAGCATGAGTAAGTTAGAATAAATGACACATTTATGTTTTACAATCAGGAAAATAATTTCCATATTTGGTGTGTGGTCTGGTCCCTATTAAGGTATATCTATTATCATTTCTCATTAGAATTTCCTTTTGTAACATCAACCTGTTCTTCAAACATAATTTACAATGCTGTTTTATTGAGAATATCTTTTATGCATTTAAAGAATATATATTAACTATAGACCATGTTCCAGGCACATTTCAGAGTATGGGATGCTTAAAAAGAAAAGTCTATAAACTAATAATTATGCAAGAACATAATGAAAAAAATATATAACATATCCAATGGTGCAGCTGCTATAAAGAAAAGTAAATAATATTAAATGGAGAGAATGTATATAGGGCTTTCTTTTTTATAGAGTTTAACCAAGCTGTGGCAACAGGTGACACTTTAACAGATACCTCAAAGAAGACTGAGTGTGAGCCTAAGGGGGAAGTGTTTCTCAGGCTGAAGGAACAGCCAGTGCAAAAGCCCTGAGGAAGATGGTTGTTTTAGAAAATCAAGGCTCAGGACTTTCAAGATAGCAGTGGTGTGCGTGGATTATTCTAATACCTCCTCCCAAAAGCAAGCTGGAAATAAGACTAAATTGGGGAACATTTACCCTGAATTTTCAACTGAAGACTAGTTGAAAGGGAGACTTTTAAACACGGAAGGGCAGAAGCCAATTCAAGACTGGTAGTAAGATCTGGATCACAAGAGGTCCTGGCACTGCTTCCTCAGGAAAGGCCAAAGTTGAGAAAGGATATCTCGGTTACAGGTGGTTTCCCTTGAGAGTAGTGACATTTGGATCCCAGGCATGGTTCTCCAGCTCAGAGCACCTAAGCCAGAAACAGCTGCCCACATAGCATACTGTGGTGACATGTGGTAGGACTTCGCACTGCCAAGGAGAGACGAGACTGAGCCCGCCAGAGATAAAGCCACCTTTTTTTTTTTAAGTGCCAGAGTACAAAGTTTTTCTTCTCAGTATCTCAACTTGGGCTTTGATGGATGGAAGGTGGTGTGAATTGGAATTGCTTGAGGAAGAGTCTGGGCTGGGAGGCATTGAGAGGATCAACTCCCTGTGCTCAGTCCCAATACTACAGCAGTCATTTGTGTGTGTGTGTGGGAAGGACTTGCAGTAACCTGGGGAAAGGCAATTACCCTGTCTTGTGGGATATAGCCCACCCCACTGGAATCCCATTGCCCCACCCTGCATATCAAACCCTGCTGAGGAGGCAGCAGCAGATGCAAAACTTACAGGTTTGTGCAGACTCAGGCAGTGTCAGTGAGTGGCTTTGGGGTGGGGCCTTTCCCCCAACTTTCCCAGGAACCTGACTGGAACTACACCCTCATGAGAGAACTTGTAGAAACTCATGGGTTCTTGTGGACCCTACCAGCCTGCCTATGAGGGGATATACTCTGCCAAGGTAAGGGAAATTCTGGGACAGACTCAGATGTGTGGCTCTGGGATAGGGGAACACAACCATCATCATTCTTGAAGTCTGAAACAGCATCTCCCCTTCATAGAAGAAACAGAGGTCCCATTTACCTGATTCCATCTGATTCTCCTACTCTTTTAAAAACAGCCTTTTCAGTGACTAAGTGTGACAGCCAGCCTGCTGGCATAAGCAGAACAGGGTGAATCCTGAATTGTTTTATGATGTTTGCTGACCCTCCCCTGGGCCCTATGCTGCTATAAAGCCTGCCTTGGAGCACAGGTTGGCCCCTCTTGTGTACAGCCAAGTGCAGTGGAAGCAGCCACAAACTGTGGATCATTTCAAACTTCAAACGGGTTGCAAAGAGCCAAATGTGGAAAGCTTCTGACATTGGTTACCACTGAAGTATATCCTGGGAGGCCCAGAATCAACACACAAACCAGTCAGCCTCAGAAAACACAAGAACAGGATAAAAAGGGAGATCCGGAAACAAACATACAAGTCCAGGAAGCACAAAGAGTCCCAAACAAGATGAACCCTAAGACGCCCACACCAAGACACATGATCATCAAAATGCAAAAGGTTCAAGACAAAGAGAGAATCATAAAAGCAGCAAGAGAAAAGCAGCTCATTACCTACAAAGGAGCTCCCATAAGACTGTCAGCTGATTTCTCAAAAGAAACTATACAGGCCAGAAGGGAGTGGCTAGAAATATTCAGTGATGAGAAGCAAGAACCTACAACCAAGATGACTCTATCCTGCAAAGCTGTCATTTAGAATCAATGACCATATAAAGACTTTCCCAGACAAGAAAAAGTTAAAGGAGTTCATCACCACCAAACTGTTATTATATGAAATGTTGAAGGGTCTTTTAGAAGAAAAAAATAAAATATATGAACAAACAAAATGGCAATGAATACATATCTATTGGCAATGGAATCTACAAACAAAATAAACAAGCAGAACAGAAACATTCTCATAGATACAGAGAACATTCTGTTGGTTGCCAGATGGGAGGGGGGTTGGGGGAATGGGTGAAAAAGGTGATGGGATTAAGAAGAACAAATTGGTTGCTAGACTGACAAACCTCAAAGAGAAGGAGGTTGGAGGGTAGGAAGAAATAAACCAAAGAACTTATATGCATAACCAATGGACACAGGCAACAGTGTGGGAAAAAGCGGTAGTGGGGCGGGAGTGGGAAGGAAGGGGTCAATGGGGGGAAAATGAGGAACATCTGTAATACATTCAACAATAAAGATTAAAAAAAAAAGGGAGATCCCAGCAGGCACTAAACTCTGCCAAGATGAACTACACTTTTTAAAAATTTCATGATTTTCTTTTTTATTGCTTTGTTATTGTTTTATTCTCTGTTTTTTTCCTTTCATATCTGTTATTTAATCTCTTTCCTTTTCTTATTCACTTTTTTCTTTAATTTTTTCTCTTTTTAAAAATCATTTTCTATCTTTTATTCTTATTTTTCTCTCCCTTCCTTTCATGTTTGTTTTTCTTCCCCTTTATTTCTTCTTTTATTCTTTTGTTTTTCTTCTTTTATTATTCTTGTTCTCTTTTACCTTTCAGAATTCTCTTTTACTTTGTCATTGTTTTGTTGTTGTTGTTGGGTTCTACTGTGTGCTTTTGTTTTGTTTAGTTTGTTTGGTCTGCACCTGTACAACAGGTCACACGGCATATTCAGGGTTGAGCCTCACAGTCAGCCATCATGAGGGTAGATCCCACCCATGAATAGGATAACAACAATCAAGACACAATTACAATAAGAGAGGCCAAATAACACACAGAGGACATGTCTAGAATATCCAGCTCAGGAGATCAAAAAGATTGCATCACTGGGTCCCACAGGACACTTTCTATGGAAGGTCACCACACGAAGACTGGAAATCATAACAGTTCTATCTAATACATGGAAACAAACATAGAATGACAACTAACATGGGGAGGAAAAATATCCCCAAATAAGTGAAAAGACCGACTCTCCAAAAAAAGAGCTAAATAAAATGGGGCAAGCAATTTACCAGACATAGAGTTCAAAGTAATGGTTTTAAGGATGCTTAAGGAATTATTGAGAACTACAAGGAACATAATGGCAACTACAAGGAATTTAGTGGGAACTACATCAGCATAGAAACCATGAATAAGAACCAGTGAGAAATGAAGAATACCATATCTGATATCAACAATACACTGGAAGGAATTAAAATAGTCTGGATGAAGCAGAGCAATAAAAAGGAAAAAGAATTGAAAGTAACAAGGAAAGTTTAAGGAAACATTGGGAGAACATTAATGGTAGCAATATTCCCATCATAGAGGTACCAGAAGAAGAAAGTGAGTAAATGATAGAGAACCTGTTTGAAGAAATAATGATAGAAAACTTCCCTAACCTGGTGAAGAAAAAAGTCACACAAGTTCAGGATGCACAGAGAGTCCCAATCAGGATGAACACAAAAAGACTGACACCAAGACACATCATAATCAAAATGGCAAAGGCTCAAGACAAAGTAAGTATCTTAAAGGCAGCAAGAGAGAAAAAGTTACCTACCTAAGGCTGTCAGCTGATTTTTCAACAGAAATACTTCAGACCAGAAGAGATTGGCATGAAATCTTCAAAGTAATGAAAAGGAAAGACTTTAAATCAAGACTATACTATCTAGCAAGGCTTTCATTAAAAATTGAAGGCAAAGTAAAGATCTTCTCAGACATAAAAAGGCTAAGGGAGTTCATTACCACCAAACCAGCATTGCAAGAAATGTTAAAGGGACTGTGTTAAGAAGAAGAAGAAAAAGAGAGAGGAAAGTCGATATAAATAATGGAAATAAATAAGTACCTATCAATTACAGCCTTACATTAAATGGATTAAAACTTCAATTAAAAGACATAGGGTAGCCCTGGACGGTTTGGCTCAGCAGTTAGAGCATCGACCTGTGGTCCTGAGAGACCTGGGTTTGGTTCCTGCTAAGGGCATGTACCTGGATTGCAGTTTGTCCCCATCCCTGGTTGGGTCGTGCAGGTGGCAACCACTTGATGTGTCCCTTTCACGTCGATGTTTCTCTCTCTCTCTTCCTCTCTCTCCCTCCCACTCTATCTGAACAAAAACAACAACAACAAAAGGAAAAATGTCCTCAGGTGAGGATAAAAAAAAAAAAACGACACAGGGTAGCCAAATGGATAAGAAAATATAACACTTATATATGCTATCTACAAGAGACCCACCCAAGAGCAAAAAATTTACTTAGACTGAAAGCAAAAAAAAAAAATTCTATGCAAATGGAAATGGAAAAACTCTGAGGTATTAATTCTCATATCTGACAAAATAGACTTCAAAACATAGGCCATAACAAGAGACAGTTATTACATTATACTGAAGAGATTGATCCAACAAGAGTACATAACCCTTGTGAACATATATTCCTGCACTATAGGGGAACCTGAATATATTTTAAAAACTCTTGGTGTACTTTAAGGGAGAAATTAGCAGCAATA